CCCCCGCCTTCTAATAGGCTCCGCCACCACAATGCCCCGTCCTCAATGTACTGGCTTTTATTTTTTTTGCTTTCGGTTTAAAAACTATTTTACAACATATTTTTTTTTTTTTTTAATTGACTTGATAACTCATCTTAAAAAAATGGGGCACGGGCTTTAAGGACCAATCTATTGGATATGTTTTGAGGAGAGAAAAATTAGAAGGAGCAAGAATAGTAGGGTAGGTAAAATTTTCAATACATTGCACATACTCTAACGAAATTTAGTAAAGCATGTATTGAGTAATAAATAAGTTGGCACGACAAGGTCTAACAATCTGACCAATCGCAGAGTTGGGGGTAATAATATTGTATTTGAAAACAACTTAAAAACAATGCCAACCGCTTTGAATAATGTAATTTTATTGATGATGAGATCTAGGAGTAGTTCTTAAGAAGCCAACAAAGATAGGATATGTCTAGTTAGATTTGTTTAATGGTTTTATTAGACAATCGTAGTTGAGGTTTTTTTGGAAAATTATTTTTGATATCGGTTCCCACTTTCATCGTGTTGGTCTTGGGGGGTCTGAAAAAAACGTACAACAATTGTTAAAAATAGATATGAGCTGGTTTTTCTTTTCAATACTTAATCATTCTTATTCTTTATAGAACTTGCTCGTTTTACTACAGTGCTACTTAATATGTTATTTGAACTTACAGGTTCGCTGGGTTGAGGATCATCATTGGAAGAATTTTTTTCATCGTGAAACAACATCATACCTATTTTTATTTCGTCTTGTGGCTTATTCACGATGGATTCTATAAGTTTCATCTTAATTTCGGATGTGCTAAAATATAATAATAATACATTTTTATTTTAACAAAGAATTTCTTAAAACATTTGAAGACAGCTTAATGATAGTCTAGACAGCGATGATTTATTAAAGATGAAAACGATTTGAACACATTCAATCAAGGATTGAGGATAAAAGATTACAATGATAGACGAATTTGTGGGGCAGACTCTTAAAGTTTAAGATAAAAATTGAGCATTATAATGTAGTATTCATTAAATCGCTGTCCAGCACTTTTAGCTTTACTGTCTAATCTAAAATTGCTTCAATCCACCGCTCCTAGCAACTATTCCATTTTTGCCCATCTAGTCTCAATTCTCAAGATATAATGTCTAATCTCTATTTCCTTTTAATACACCGTGCAATAAGTATCTCGACTACACATTATCTTAATTCCCGGGAAGTTCTCCGAGTTCTACATTTATACTACCATTAAAATAATATATTTTGATATCATACCGTGGGTTGAAATGGTGGCCATAAATTTCCGTCGATTTCATAGTATTTGGCAAATTCATTTTCAATCCAGAAATCTCGAATTCCAAATTCTCTACGAAGCAACCCGAAGCCTTTATTGCGTCAAATTCTGGTAATGTTCCCGGAATCGATTTTGTAAAATCTTTGTACATTGCCAAATCAATGCCCTCGGTTCTTTTTTTATCGAATTCCCATAAAATCGACATGAAATCTCCGCTGAACCCTGTACCTAGAGATTCGAAATACTTTACAAAACTTCCACCGTGTCGTACGCACTGGCTTACAATGAATTTGTCGATAATTCGAAGCGCCTCATTGAGAACACAAATGAGTTCGTTGATTGTGTCGACAACCGGTTGGTCATATTCGTTTGTAAACTTCGTTGTAAACACATCGGCATAGAATTGGTAAATGATTTTTATACCGAGCGTCTTCTCGATCATGTCTGCCCAAAACTGATAAATATCCTTCTTTGATTTATAATGTAATGCATGCTGGTTAATTAATTGAAAGTGGCCCATTAGTTTGAAGTCTAAACTAAAGCCAAAATCTAAGTAATAATTCCCGTTGTTTAAAAGTAAAAGCTTGCTATTAAATGATTCATTTTCAAATATCGTTCGAAGATCGGAATCCGGCTCATTTTCTTGCGCATATAGTATGGCCTCGTAAATGTTATTTTTGAGCTGCCATAAATTCTGAAATATCAACCAAGTGGTTATGCTTGCGTACTTTGTTATCGTGCACTGATAGGCCAATTTGATTATGTCGCGGATCCTTACAAATTCCTCCACAGAATTGATGTTAGCTCTTCGCTTAAAGTCGAGCACATTCGTCCTAGCGTTAATAGTGGTTCTTCGGCCGTTGGGATGTTGATAAAGTATATATTGGTCCATAGCTGGGCTTAATTCTTTAATGAAGGTGTCGCCGTTTATAATTCGTTTTAGTTCATTTAAATCTAATTTTTCGATCGTTGATGATATGCAATAAACGCCAGAAAGACACAATAGAAACACCAAAAAATTACTTATCATATTGTTAATATTTTACTGACGTTGAATACTCACTGTAGTTTAAGAAACACTAAAACGTTTTTGATCGTCGGTTTAATCTGTAACTTTTTAGAATATCTATGACAAAAAAAGGTGTTAGGACAGTTGCATGTTTGTATTAACTGTTTACCTTTCTTGTGTGTAGACATTTTTTAAGAAATTAATATCACAATTATAATAGGGGTTTGGTTAGGTAAAACAGAATTTTTTATATTTCATAGTTGAGTAAACCACAAATTTTCCAAGTACATATAAAATTTGCTTTACATGGATTTAGTTTTAGCAATTTGTCATGTAACAGAAAAAAAAGCCAGTACAGTGGGGTCAGGGCATAGTGGGGACGTGAAGGTCACAGGTTTACAGGGATTTTTAAATCTGAAAGTGATAAATTACTTTCGAATAAATGCTTTGAAGCAGATCAGTAGTTAGTATGTTCAAGCCAGTACAGTCCAAACCAAGCACGGTGTAAGCCAGCCAAGTTAGAAAGGGTTAAACTGAGGTGCTGTATTTAAAAATAAGCATCAAAGCGTTAATTTGAAAGTGATTTTATCCGAGAGGCATAGTGTAGTAGAGTTTAGGCATAATGGAATTAAAGCCTAGAGGGGACGGAGAGGTCACAGTTCTACAGGAATTATTATAAATAAAAGTGATCAATATATCACTTATATTAAATATCTTGTTTATAATCTCTCACCTCAACTCTCTTACTTTTAATATATTATCTCTTATCTCTCATATCTTATCAGATAATTATTTATCAATTCTTTCATTCAAAATACAACCGCTAGTTCGTTTAGCGCGATGCACAAATTTTTGTATTGACCAATAGACATATACATGTCAATAATATGACTTTATACAGTATTACGTTATACAGTAAATTGTCGAAAATATTTTCCGGTGATGGTCAAATTATATAAATCACCAGTTCAAAAAAGTGGAACCACTAATGGCGTTTTTTTTTTGTGTTATTCCATCATTTTGATAAGTTTCACCTATTCCCTTTCTCGAATCATCGATTCATACAGTATTATCTACAATACAGGCCAATGATCATAAATATGAAATGATTTTTTACGGTTACAATTTTTACTAGGTAACATAAAAAAATGTAGGGGCTAAATTTCACAATTTTCCCGGTGAATATATATTTTTATAGCATTAAGCTATCAAGACCTATTTTTTTATTTGTTTTGTCAGCCGTCGCAGATGTATAGAAAAAATATTGTCGTCGAAAGTAGTTTAACAACCGTGCACAAACGTCACCGATATTTGACTGTTTAAAAAAATTTAATCGTTTTCCACAATCGTTACTCAAAGTAATGAATATCAAAAATGTTTCGATTATCAATTCTAGAAAATTGCTTTAAATTTTTGGCAAACTATTCTTCACTTAAGAAGTTCATCAAATGTCACTTAGGTTACAATTTAGGTTTCAAAATTCGGTTGCACTGAACAAAATGTTAAAAATAGGCTGTGTATTAGATACGACGGCTGGGGCATAAAAAAGCGCCGCAATTTTTTTTTTGGGGGGAAAGGGATTTGTAGGTTTATAGAAATTATTTAAACTTTAAGTGATACAATCACATTCAAATAAACGCTCGATACGTAGATGTGTATATGCCGGGTGTTCAAAAAGTTTGGAACCCCTTGATTTTTAGAGTAGCTTTAAATTTTTTCTAAATTTTGACTTTTGAATGTTGTTGGGTAAAACTTAACGCACATTCTAAGCCCAAATCCAAAGTTTAACCTTATGTAGTTTGCGCATACGTACTAGATATAAGTATATACTTTTTATAGTATCGTCGGTCATTAAAAAGAAATTATTAATCTTATCTATTATATTATCTCTATTTTCTATTTTATCTATTTACTAGCTGCCCGTGTATCCGGCTTCGCATCGGTTAAAAAATACAATTGAGACATATTACTCACAAGTTATACAAATTATTAGTTTATATGTGAATCCATGTCTTTTTGGGCAGAAACAAAGAATAAACTTTCACTAAAATTTTTAATTTTCCAATTTTCCGGGCACCTTTTCCAATTTTTTCCTATCTAATTTTGCTTTCGGCTTAAAACTTTTTAAACACGCTTTTCGCTATCAAGTATACAGTATTACATTTATGTGTAATCGCAAATGTTTTAACTTTTAACACGTGTACAAATTACAGACATAGTACACATTAAAATTATTGGACCTATGACACTTTTTTCAACATACATTAATTTTGTAACTAGTTATTTTTAAAGTCATAAGTGTTCGCAGTTAAAAAAAATACTACACTTCTGCCCTAAACTTGAACCAGTCATAGGTTTTTTGTAAATTATTCTTAATAAGAGGGGTAACAAAATAAAAACGTTGTGAACAAATTATATCACATTGTATAACATTTTTATGAAAAAAAAAAATTAAAATTCTTATTTAACCATTTTATATCAAAGTTTTACTTTCATAGTTGTATTAAAAAACCAGCTATAATTTTTTTTATTTAATTTACTTAATAACTCAACTTTGAAGGTCTGGAGGCACAGATATTCAGGACCAACATATTGGAAATGTTTTAAAGAGTGAGGAATCGGAAGCAGTACAAATAGTAGTGTGGGTAGATTGAGCAATACATTTTACATACTGTAACAAAGTTCAGTGAAATATTTATTGAGTGATTAATAAGTTAGCACGACAAGGTCTAACAATTTGACCAATTGTAGAGTTAGGGTAATAACACATTCAAAAACGACTTAAAAACAATGTCAATCGCTTTGAATAATGAAATTCTATTGATATGAAGATCTAGCTCTTAAGAAGCCAATAAAGGTAAGGTATGTCAGGTTAGATTTATTTAGTGGTTTTTTTCAGAAAATCGTAGTTTAGTTTGTTTTGGAAAATTATTTTCGATATCAGTTGTTCGAACTTTCACCGTGTTGCTGTTGGGAGGTCTGGAAAAAACGTAAAACAATTGTTAAAAAGAGATATCAGCTGGTTTTTCGAATGTTCTTGGTAAAACCCAAATGAATATTTTACTAGTTGGCAACCTTTCTTAATATTTTCACATTACGACTTTCTATAGCTTACATAGTAGTCGTAGTTTATTTAAATAATTCTATACTCAGGCTCACGAGAGAACGTCTGTGTAAACCATGTCATACTTTAATCTTGAACAAAGTACACTTTAATGGATGCATAAGTATCATAGCCAGAAATTGATTTACAGATATAAGACAGTGATTACTACAGAATGAATTGTGTATGTTGATGATAAACTTAAAAACTATGAACTTATTGGTAACTTGGCAGTAATCTATCATACTCATCGTGGGTTAAGGTGATAGTAAAACATTTGAACATGTTTTCACTAATTAAGGGATTAAGGGATAAAAAATTAAGAAAAATTTAAACTTCTACGAAGCCAGTAAAGCTGGATTAGACTTAAGATTAGGTTTTTTTTAAAAGGGTTTGAATAATCTAAACTCTACAAGGCATAATATTAGCCAACTGTTGTTATTATTCTTATTTTATGTTAATGAACGTGCTCGTTCTGCTAAAGTGCTACTTAACATCAACTTTATACTTACAGATCCACTGGGTTGAGGATCTGACGAATTTCCTGCATCGCGAAACAATATCATACCTATTTTACACCCGTCTTGTGGCTGATTATCGATGGATTCTACAAGCTTCATTTGAATTTCGGATATGCTAAAATATAATAATAATATATTATAATAGAGGATCTCTTAAAATATTTGCAGTTTTGTATTAAAAAAAAAAATTTTGTTTATGTTTTTTTACAATATTGTACAATTAATAAACTAAAATATGAAAATTGGATAATAGTCTAATAATTTGAAATAATATTAACTTGAACCTTTCTCTCTCAAAAAAAAAAACAACAAAATAGTGTATTCATTTTCATAGAATAACAAATCATGAGGTGAAGCAAATGAGCAAAGGACTCGATGAGTAGGCTATGTAGTCATGTAGGCATAACAGGAGTCATCCTAATTTAGCCATGGTACCTAACTAAATGGAGAAAAGTCTCAAAGTAACCTAGCCAGAGATGATTTATTTAAGTTAAATAATATTTGAACCAATGTATTCAAGAAAAAAGGATAAAAGATTGCAGGAGTAGAAACAGACTCTAAATTCTTAAAAAGAAGAAGAAGTATTATAATTGATTTATTATTGAATCGCTTTACAGCACAATGACCTATTATTGATTTATAGAAAATGCTTATTTTGTACAGGAGAAGAACGAATCTGGAGCTTCAGCAATTGGGCCAACGATTCAGTTGAGTAGGCTAGGTATGGAAGTCAGGTGGACATAACAAGAGTCAGTCTAATCGAGTGATGGTAACTAATTACAGGGTAATCCAATTATCGTGAACCACTCAATATCTCATAGGGTTTAATAAGAAATTAAAATTTTTTTTTGACATTTTCATGTCTTAGCTCTGGCACATAACCGAAAAAAGCGTAACGGAAAATTAATAACGAAAAAAGCGTTATCACACGGAGATGGGGTTGGGGTGGGATGGGGATGAAGATGGGGCTGGGAGTGGAAGGTGTGGGTAGGAGATAGGGCGTGAGAAATAGGGGGAGGGAGACAAGGGTGGGAGATAGGAGGTGAGAGATAGGAGTAGGAGATTAGGGTAAGATATAGGAGATAAGAGATATGTTGTACGTTCAACTTTCAAATTAGAACTATATTATGATAAATTCAAAATAGTTTAAGGGCCCAAATTCTCTATGAATTGTTCTACGCCAGATATTATGAAAACACTAGAATATTAGCCAGAAACTTGATATGTTTACTAGCCATCTTAGATACTTAAAAATGTATCTCGTGGTGTTGCGGACTCGTACGCAAGCTGTTTTTATGTGTTGTATTCACAACGAACAAACTTAAATGAATGGTTGATGAATTACTAGCCAAATAAATGTTTTGCCAATAAATTGATTAGGGCAATTATTAAAAACTACTAAAAAACTTTTGGCCACAACATATAATTAATTATCACCTACCATTCGAGTACCGTGGTTACCATTATCACAAACCAAGTGTTATTAAAACAAATTTGTCGTACGGTATAATTAAAATTCGGTAATAACCGGTACAAAAAAACGTTCAATAAATGTATTAGAATAATACATATCTGTTATTGTTTGTCAAACACATCAGCTACAAATCGGTTAATGCTAAAAAATTTATATTAGATAATCGTAAAAACTCATGTTTTAATTTTCCTGGTTTTTTTTTTTACCCCTCTCGCAACTTTGTTTTTTTGATAGCAACTTTTGAAACTTAAATGGTAACATATATATTTTGTTAACTTTTTGAATTAACCAGTTTCGGATGATTATTTTTGAAGTTATTGAAGTTTCAAGTTTAGGGCAGGAGGAAAAGTGAAGTGTATTTTATTTTTTATCTGCACGCATTTCCCAACCTCACTTCCCCTCCTATCCTAACTTTAAAACTCTTATAACTCTAAAAATAGTTATCCGAAACTGGTTATCGACCAGTCAAAATTGTTAGATCATTATTCTTAAATTAACAAAATAACAAAATATATACGTTACCGTTTAAGTTTCAAAAGTTGCTATAAAAAAAATAAGTTGGGAGAGTGGTCAAACCAAAAAAAATTGTGAAAATTTGAGATCGCATTGCGTAAAAACAATATGAAAAAAAAATGTAATTTCTTATAAAACCCTATGACATATTGAGTATGATTGAGTAGCGATGATTTGTTATAAAATAAAAACTATTTGAACAAATTCGATCAAGGATTAAGGATAAATTATTACAAGGATAGACGAATATTGTAGTGTCAAGACTAAAAGTTTAAGAAAAAGAAGAAAAATTTTATAATTTTATAATGTAGTGATCATTAAACCGTTGCACAGCACTTAAGCTTTATTTAACTAATCTCAAGTTCCTTCCTATCCACTACTCCTAGTAATTAATAATAAATGTTCAATGTACCCAACTCTCTCGTTTATGTCCTTCTAGTCTCGATTCTTAAGATATAATACACCGTTAAATAAGTATCTCGACTACATTATTCTACTTCCCCAGAAGTTGTTTGAGTTTTGAATTTTTACTAGCATTTAATAATATATTTTGATAACATACCGTTGGTGTAAGTTAAGGCCATAAACTAACGTTGGGTTAAAGGGATTTGGCAAAACCGTTTTTAATCCAGAAGTCTGAAATTCTAAATTCTCTACGAAGCAACCCGGAGCCATTATTGGGTTAATTACTGGCAATGTTCCCGGAATCGATTTTGTAAAATCTTTGAACAATTCCAACTTTGAGCCCATGGTTTTAATTTTATCAAATTTGTTTAAAACCGACAAGAATCTTCCGTTGACACCTCCACTTAGGGATTCGAAATTCCTTACAAAACTTCCGGCGTGTCGTACGCACTTATTTAAGATGAATTTGTCGCACAATTTAATTGTCTCATTGAGAACACAGATGAGTTCGTTAATAGTGTCGACAATCGGTTGGTCATATTCGTTTGTAAACTTCGTTGTAAACACATCGGCATAGATTTTGTACTTAATTTTTGAACCGAGCGTCTTCACCAGCATGTCTGCCCAAAAAAGATAAATGTCCTTCTTTGTTTTATAATCGAATTCGTGCGGGCTATACAACAAAAAGTCGCTATTTAACTTAAAGTCTAATTTAAAGTCAAAGTCTAAGTAATAATTCCCGTTGTTTAAAAGTACAAGCCTTCTTTTGAATGTTTCATTTTCAAATATCGTTTCAGCATTAAAATCTGACGTATTTTCTTTCGTATATAGTATGGCCTCGTAAATGTTATTTTTTAGCTTCCACAAATTCTGAAATATCAACCAAGTGGTTATGCTTGCGTACTTTGTTAGCGTGCATTGATAAGCCAATTTGATTATGTCGTGGATCCATTTGAATTCCTCCACAGAACAGTTGTTAAGTTTTTGCTTGAAGCCGTACACAGTCTTTCTAACGTTAATAGCGGTTCTTCGTCCGTCGGGATGTTCGTAAATTATTTTTTGGTCCATAGCTGCGTCCCATTCTTTAATGGTGGGTTCGGCTCTCAAAATTAGTTTTAGTCCATCTAAATCTAAATTTTCAATCGTTGACGATATGCAATAACCGCCGGAAAGACACAATAGAAACACAAACAAATGACTATTCATATTGTTAATATTTTACTGACGTTGAATACTCACTATAGCCCAAGATACACTAAAACATATTTGATCGACTGTTCAACATCTTTAGAATTTCTTTAAAATAAACGCCGATAGCACAGCTGTCGGTTTACGTTTGTACTAATTGTTTACCTTTCAGCATTTTATATTTTTCGAATATAGCCGAGTAAACTACAACGTTCCCAAGTACATACAGATTTGCTTAATATGGATTTCGTTTTTGCGAACCGCTATGTAACGGAAACGTAAAAACAAAATAATCTATTGTACCTATGTTATTTTTGTCAGTAAAGTCCAAGATGATGTATATTTTTTTTGGTCTACATTTTTTAACTAAATGACTATTGATTTCGAAGGAAAATAAAATAAAATGTTTATTGTTAAAAAAACTAAATGTTTACATTTTTGACGTTTCCACTTTGAAAAAGTAACAAAAAATATCTGACAAACAAAAAGTGTGTAACTCCTTCGGAATGCCTATAAAAATAAAAACGGTGTGAGCGCATCTATTGTTTAATGTTTATTAGCTGCTTTGTATACATTTTTTAAATATGTAATCAACAGTTATTAGAAATTTGAACTTTCACAGCTTTATATTATTTTTTCGTTAAATCGACGAAATTTTCTGAATAAAATTCAATACACGATTTATGAATTTCTATCGATGGCAGTTAAAAATAATAATGTATTTAAATATTTTTGTGCAAAAGTACTGAAATTGTGTGTGTTTCGAGACAGAAGTTTTAAAAATTGTTTGCGAAATTTCAAGATTTAAAAGCTGAAAATGAATCTAAAGATAGGTTGATCGTGCACCTTATAACATGAGTAAAAAAAAAAAAAAAATGTCATGATATGTCCACTTAACTTTTATACAGGTCCTACTCAATCAAGTGGTTTGCTCATTACTAATCATTACTCATAAGTTGAAAATCTATAATAGGTTTTTGGTATACTTGCTGTACCTCCAAGTTTGTTTTTATCCTGTATGAGCTATCTTTTAAAATTTGACTAAATAAATATTTCCTTCGCCTCAAAAGCGATGGTCGTATGAGAATTAGGTTTATCGTTTTTTATGGTAATCATAGAAGGTATTTTGGTCACTCGAATAGTCTTAACCTTTTTCTTTGAACAGGGCTTAAATCAATTAATTTGATGGTCAAAAGTTGAAAAACACAACTTCTTCCTGCACAAACGTACCCTAACAATGTTTAGCAAAATATTTATAAGTAATAAATAAGTTGGCACGACAAGGATTAAAAATTTGACCTATAGCAGATTTGGATGTAGTAATGCATTTGAAAACGGTTTAATAGGTAAAAACAATGCCTAACGCTTTAAATAATGCGATTTTATTGATAAAACAATCTAATTCTTAAGGAGCCATAAAAATAGGTTATATTGGATTAGGTTTGCTCTAAAAATGTTGGCTTTTAAAGGATCTTACTTCTACAAAACATAATTATAATTGCGCTTGTGCTGTTTTAACAGACAACTGTTGTTAAGGTTATTTTGGAAAATGATTAAAAACAACAACAAAATCCCATAATTTGCATAGTTAGTTTATTGGAAAATAGTTACTGAAATTAATTTTAACATTGGAATATATATATTGGATTATTTTTTGAAACATATTAATGTATTTTTTTTATATCAGATCAACTTTCATCCAGTAAGTCTTGGCTAGTCTGAAAAAAAATACAAACATTTTAAAAAAATGATATGAGTTTGGTTTTTGGTTGTTTCTGGTAAAATCAAGTTTAGGCATAAAAAGTTTTAAGAAACTACTAAAGATACATTAGGGCAGGTTAGGTTTATTTAAAAGCATTTGAAAGATCTTAACTCTACAAGACATACTGTAAACGAACCATGGTTAAGGTTCTTTTGAAAATATTTTAAGAAAATAAAATAGTTTGCATACCTTGTCAACTTATTATACACAAATCTGGATCGTCTCTGGAGATCTAGAAAAAATGCGTACAAAAACAATTAAAAAATGGATATGAGTTTGGTTTTTGGTTGTTCCAATCCTTCTTATTATTTTCACAATACGGAAGAACTATATTTTGTAGCTAACATAGTAGTGTAGTTTATTTAAATAATTCTATGTTTCGACTAATGAGAGAAAGTCTACTGAAACTATAAAATAACTTTAGCTTGCATAAGCAGTACCTTAGCCTAAAATGGATTTCAGAGAGACGGCAGTGGTTACTACAGAATAAATTAAATATGTTGATGATAAACTTGAAATTCATGACATTACTGGTTACTTGGTTGTACTATATCATACTCATTCTGTGTTAGGGTAGTGATAATTCCAAAGTGTAAAAAAAAGGTATATAGCAAACAGGTTGTATAGTTAATTTATTGTACAATTATTTTTGTATACTACTTAAAAAATTGTTTATTAGAGACATGTTTTTTAAAAGCGGAAAATCATAACATTTTTGGTTTCTTGACAACACTACTTATCATTTCCATTCTGTATTTAGACTCGTTCGTTCTACTACAGTGCTACCTAATATTACTAATTTATACTTACAAGTCTTGTGCGTCGATGACGAAAGAAGGGCTTATGTGATTCATCGCGGAAGAACATCTTACCAATTTTAACCCCGTCTTGTGGCTCCGTGGACTCAACAAGTTTCATTTTAATTTCGCCTATGCTAAAATATAACAATAACCAATTCTATATTATGATAAAGGGGTTCTTAAAAAAATTGAAGTTTAATGAGTTTTGCATTTATTCTAGCATGTATTAGCATAATATTTGAGATCATACCGTTCATCGAAGGAATCGCCATAAATGTCTGCTGGGCTTCTAAAATTTGTCAAATCCGTTTTTAAACCAGAAATCTCGAATTCCAATCTCTCTACGAAGACACCCGAAGCATGTATTGCGTCAATTTCTGGCAATGTATCGGGAAGCGATTTCGTGAAATCTCTGTACAATCCCAAATTAGTGCCTACGACCTTCATTTTATCGAGTTGTCTTATAAGCCACATGAAATCTCCCTGGACGCCTGATTTTAGGGATTCGAAATTGCTTTCAAAACTGCCGCCGTGTGGTACGCAGTTATCTACAATGAAATTGTCCAACAATTGAATCGCCTCGTTGATGACGCAAATAAGTTCGTTGATAGTGTCCACGAGCGGTAATGCATATTCGTTTGTAAATTTTGTTTTCATCACATCGGCATAGACTTTGTAGTTGATTTCCAATCCAAACGTCTTCTTGACCATGTCTGCCCATACTTTGTGGATTTCTTTGGACGTCTTCAATAAGAAATCGTGGGTTGCGAATAATTGAAAGCCACCGCTTACAAAGTTAAAGTCATAGTCCAAGTGTAATTTCTCCCAGGTTAACTGCGATAATATCTCTTTAAATCTTTCATTTTTAAATATTGTTTCACGATCAAACGACGTGTGTGCTGCAATCCGATTTATGGCCGTGGTGATGTTGGATCTGATCTGTAACAAATCGCGTAACACGAAGAAAGCGCTTAGGCTTGCGTACTTTCTTAACGTGCAATGATAAGCTGTTTTGATTGTGTCGCGGATCGATTCGAATGCCGTCACATCATTGTTGTTAGCTTGTTGCTTAAATTTATCCACGGCCTCCCCAACGTTAACAGTGGTATTTGAGTCGTTGGCATCTTTTTGAATTATATTTTGATCCATAGCTGCGTCCCATTCGTTAATTGGGGTTTCACCGGACAAAACTAGCTTTAGTCCATCCAAATCTAAATTTTCAATCGTTGACGATATGCAATGAACGCCGGAAAGACACAATATAATCACACTAAAATGACTATATATGATAAAAATCATATTGTTAATGTTTTGCTGACGTTGAATACTTGCTGTAGCTCAGGATACACTAAAACGTTTTGGATTGTCGGTTCGACTTATAACGTCTTCAGAACATCTATAAAACAAAATTGCATTAGTATAGCTGTTAAAATACATTCGTGTCTAAATTTCTCCATTTTGGCGGTTAAACAAATATAATACTGCCACATTCCCATAATAAATCAAGACATAATTTTTTTATTAGTCCCATAATTAAAAAAAAAAATATTACTGCTAAAAAGTAATCAATAAAAAATGTATTAAACGAAACTGGCCTTCGACATGTTTAAGAACTTACATTTTATAATTCAGAAGTAGGTTTAGCCACTTTGATGTAAAACATGGAAGGTATTTTGGTCACTCAAATAAATTGGTACGACGAGGTCTAACAATCTAACCAATCGCTGATTTTGGGGTAGTAATACATTTGAAAACGACTTAAAATCAATGTCAAACGCTTTAAATAATGCGCTATTATTGATATAAATATCATAGCTATTAAGAATCCAATAAGGATAGGAGATAGATTTGCTTTAATGGTTTTGAACTTTAAAGGGTCTAAATTCTACAAGACATCAGTTTATTTGCACGTGTACTGTTTACACAGGCAACCTTCGTTAAGGTTATTTTGGAAAATGATTAAATAAAAATAATAAAATCCCTTTAAAATAGTGAATTTATTGTACAATAGTTTCACTTATATATTTCAATGTTAGATTATCTGTCGAATATGACGGTTATTTTTTTCGTGAATTTAAGAAAAACTTGTTTTTGAAACGAACGCTTCCCTACAGTACAATAATCCAGATATAAATAGTGTATAAATGCAAAAATGAAACAAGTGTTTTAACTTTTAACACACACACATATAGTCATAAGACAAAAAAATATTAAACTATAAGACACGTGCCCAAATTACAGACACTGTACACATTAAAACCATTAGACCTATGTAATTTTTCCACGTTATATATTTTGTCATATGGATATTCAAAACGGCAGTTGAAAAAAATATATATATATTAAAATATCTGTGTGCAGTAATTCTAAAATTGTATGTCTATGCGAGAATATTGTTAACCTATGATTAATTACAGCCTTCGAATTTATACACACATCAAGTAATCTTAACAAGTGCACACAAAGAATGCGAAGGCAACGATATTATACATTGAAAATATAAACAGGACGAAATTATTTGACGTTACACCGAACCAATTCATTTGTTTATTCATACTGGTCTTCTTTAAAATAGAAAATTCGTCATGTTACAACCATTATAACCACAATATCAAGAATAAAATGTGGCAAAAAAATTAACCATTCGCCCTAAAAAATCAGGAAAACCCAAATCAAAATTTTATAATTATTCAATTTTAATTGCCCTTTAACTTTGATACAAACCTCTATCCCACAATAACTACATCCTAACATTTCAAATCAGAATTTTGCCTCCGAATATAACGCAGTATTTTTTTGAAATATAACAATTTTTTTTATAAAAACAAATGTAGTATGTTTTTTTAATTAAATTAAATGGTCATGTTGATGAACATTTTTAAAAATTTTATTAGTTTTTACAATGTATAAAAGCATTCGCTATGAAGGCATTCGCAGGGTACACGTTATGTTCATAAAACAAAATATGTCACATTTTTAAGAAATAAAAATCGAACAAATTATAGACACGGTACACATTAAAACTATTTTACCTATGTAATTTTTACACGTTTAGACCTAGGTCTTATAGAACTAATAACGGAAGAGTATGTCGAGTTAGATTTGCTGTAGCTAATAATTTTTACCTTTAAATAGTCATTTCTACAAGACATCCTTTAATATGTGCCTGTTCTATTTTGACTGACAAATGTCCTTAAAATTATTTAGGAAAAATATTTTAAAAAAAGTCCCGTAATTTACATAGTTAATTTATTGTACAATAATTTCTGTAATACATTTTAACATTATATTATATATGTGATTATTATTTTAGACATGACAATGTATGTTTTTGGTATCAAATCCCAATTTCATCGTGTTGGTCTTGGGGGGTCTGAAAAATAAACAAGAATTGTTAAAAAAGGATATGGGTTTGGTTTTCGGTTGATCCTGGTAAAAACCAAGTGTATAACATATGGTAGAATTTTTCTGTAGCTAACATAGAAAAATTAATTAAAATAAATCTACACTCCGTCTCATCAGGAAACATCTGTGAAAAAATATTACCTACTCTTATCTTGAACAAGGTACACTTTAAATGATCCATAAACAGCAGTACCTTAGCCAGAAATTTATTTCAGAGATAGGATAGTGATTACTACAAAGTAAACTGTGTATGTTGATGATGCACTTAAAATTTAAGAACTTGGCAGTACCATATCATACTCATTGTGTATGTTAAGCTAGTAAAACATTTGAACATGTTTTTACTAATCGAGTTTAGGGATAAAAAAAAATTAAGTACACTTTAAACCTTAAAGAAGCCAGTAAAGAATAGGGTAGGTTAGATTTTTAACGGTTAAGGTATCTGAACCGTTGTTAAGATTATTTTGAAAACATTTTGAGAAAAAATAATAATAGGTGTGCTCGTTCTATTGCAGTGCTACTTAATATCAATATTTTATACTTACAGTTTTTCTGAGTTTACGACGGAAGTCGTTGGCATGTGCGGAATCGCGAATCTGCAGCATGCCTATTTTTATCTCATTTTGTGACTGCGCTTGGACCGTTTCTACAAATTTCGTGGTAATTTCGGATATGCTAAAATACAATTATAATGTAAATATTGAAAAACTATCAAATTAAAATATACTAATTTTAATATAGTCAAACATTTTGAAATAATATTAACTAGAACGCGTCACAATAAAAATAACAAAAATTGTACTAATTTTTATAGAAAATCTTATTTGTTTCAATTTTAAAAGATGAAAAAAGGATGATTCATAAAATGATACAGGAGTAGAATAAATTTCGAAGTTCAACAAGTTTATGATCAAAAACATATTATAGATCACACGCCTTATGAGTAGTGGACAAACGAATCGATTAGGCGATGTATGTAAAAGTCAATTATACTTATCAGGAGTCATCCTAACCTAGTCATGGTACCAAACTAAATGAAGAAAAGCCTCGAAATAACCTAAACAGAGATGGTTAAATAATGTTGAAGACGATTTGAGTAAATTTAATCAAAGAATATGGATAAAAGATTGTATTGAATAAACAATTGTAGTAGGGGCTAACTTTAAAGGCTTTAAGAAAAATAAGTAGAAAAAATAAAATGTAGTCTCCATTAAAAAATCGCTATACCGTAGAAATTTAGAGTTGTGCGAATTGTTATGTAAATAATTTTTTGAATAAAACGTATAGCGAATAATAATAATTATTATTTTACTATTTAATAAAATAATCATTTTACAATTTATTCGAATAAAAAATTATTTTCCTATATGAAAATGGTTTTGTATATTTTGTAAATTTAGAATTTTTAGATTGTTACTGAATAGTATTTTCAAATATAATAACTTGAAAAAAAAACAGTTTAAAATTATTCGAATACATTTTTTTGTCATTTGAAACTATCCGAATAATCATTATTTTTATAACATATTTTGATATAATACCGTGGGTTGAAGCTAGTGCCGTAAATTTCAGTTGGGTTTCTATTATTTGACAAAACGGTTTTTAAACCAGAAATCTCGAATTCCAAATTTTCTATGAAGACACCAGAAGCCTCTATTGCGGCAATTTCTTGCGCTGTTCCCTCTTTCGATTTTGTAAAATCAATAACCAACAATTTTTTATCTATCTTCCTCATTCTATCGAATTGCTTTAAAACCGAAACCATATTTGTGTGAACACCATTTTTCAAGGATTTGAAATTTTCCAGAAAATTGCCGCCGTGTCTTACGCACTTGTCTACAATGAAATTGTCAAACAATCGAACCGACTCATTGAAAACAAAAATGAGTTCGTTGAGAGTAGTAACATACTGTTGCTCAAAGTCGTTTTCAATCTTCGTTGTAAATACATCCTTGTAGATTTTGTAGTTGATTTTTAAACCGAGCGTCTTTTTTAAGATTTCTGCCCAAAAAAGGTAAAGATCTTTTTTTGCTGGTACATCGAACAAGTGTTGGCTGAAGAATTGAAAGCTGTCACTAAATTTAGTGTCCAGATCTATGCAATATTTCCCGTGGTTTAAACGTTCAAAAATGGCTTGATATGATGGATTTTTATAGACTGTTTGAGGATTGTAATTCGACGTATGTTCTCGCGTTTCTGTTACGGCTGCCAAAATGTTCGCTTTGAACTGCCACAAATCCTGAACAATCAAAAAAGTGGTTAAGCTCGCGTACTTCGTTAAAGTGCATTCATAAGCCAATTTGATTATGTCACGGATCTCTTGAAATTCCTCCACAGATCTATCGTCAATATTTTGCTTAAAATTTTCCACATCCTCCCTAACGTTAACAGTGATTATTTGGCGGTCGGGACGTTTGTAGAATACACTTTGGTCCATAGCTGCGTTCCATTCGTTAGTGGAAGTTTCATTGTTTAGTACTCGTTTTAGTTCTTCCAAATCTAAATTTTCAATTTTTGACGATATGCAATAAGCGCCGGAAAGACACAATAGAATCACACTAAAATGACTGTTCATATTGTTAACGTTTTACTGACGTTGAATACTTGCTGTAGCTCAAGAAACACTAAAACGTTTTGGATCGTCGGTTTAGCCTGTAACGTTTTCTGAATATCTATGACATTAAAGGGTGTTAGCACATTAGTTAGTTTTTGTTTGCGTATTAGTTGTTTATCTTTGTTGCACGTACATTTTCGAAGGAATGAAAATCACAATTCTATTAGGTTTGCCTCAAGTCAGCATTTTGTGTTTTATGTAAAATATCTTCAAAGCCAAGTACAACTTACATACTTTGTCGGGTTTAGCTATCAGGCGCATCATTTTTTATTTGTATTGTCCGCCGTCGCAGATTTATCAAAAAAATAGTTCAATAACAGTCTACTTAGTTACATACAAAAATATAAGGACT